GTCAGGTTCGAGACTAATAGCGTTTTCGGACTAACGACAAAATTTAACTGAAATCAGAATTTCTAAGGTGTCATTTAACTGTGTGCAGGATTATTTAGCAATACCCATTTAATTAAATTTATGCATAACAGAAAATCTAAGATACCTGAGAGAATTCTTTTCTAACTGGATGGAAACAGCTGAACGTCTTCAGAATTATTTTCAGTGTGTATTGAAATTTTTTTCACTACTGTAGTTTTTTAAAATAGATTGAAATTTATCGGTAATCTTTAAAGAAATGATCTCCATCTTTAAAGAAATGAGAAAGTGACACGTTTTACAGTTTTTATATGCTTTATTTTTTGACAAATCTTATTAATTTGTGTTTATTTTTCCAACTTTGCGGAGGCAAAAAGTATCTTTTCTCTGTTAATGACGATTTGTTGTTAGGCATATCTGACACTTATTTTGGAATTGTGGTTTCATAGCTCATGTGTCTAGGTATAAAACAGTTTTTGCAAATTTTATTTTTCAGATAATTTCAGTTTATTTAGGAGTGCAATTTTTGAAATAAGGTCGGAAAATGTTTCCTCAGGCATCCTCGAATTTTTCTCGAGAAGAAACTTTATTTTGATAGTGCTTAATTTTACTTGACAATACGAGGATGATCTGCAAATATATTTTTAGCCTTTGTACAATGTTTGTATGTTTTGATGAATCTTAATAGTTTGTGAGGTTGCTTACACTTTTCCTCCTTCAAACTTAAATTTTGGACAAGTACGTGACCCTATAAACGTGCGCGATAAGCTACATGAGCCTTCTTTTGAATTTTTATTGAAATTTTTGTAACATTTCACATTTAAGTATTTTATTTGAAGTTTAAGAAAAATTATCAGTTGAATAAAAATTATGTTCCAAATAGCATATCCAATAAGACATTTCTGAACTTAGCAAAAGAAAGAATAACTAAAGTCTGGAAAATCCGTTTTAAAACTTAAGTTTAATCTTTCATCAGTCCGTTTTAAAATTTATTTTTCATTACGCTTTGTTCTTTAATATCAGTAAATGTGCTACATGAAGATTAAATAAAGAAAACGTGAAGAAACTCGACAGATTAAACAAACAACTGCTCTTTTAAGTTCAATTTTAAACATAGGTAATTAAAGTATAATAAATGTTTGTAATTAGTTGATGTCAAGGGAATTGCCCATTTAAAGCAGTTTTGTTGATTAAGATCTTGAGTTTCTCTTGTATCGCAGAAAGGTTTTTCATCATGTTTTTTCCCCTTGCGCATTTTTAAAGTTTTCAAATACCTTTAGTACTTCTTGACACATGAGAATTTTCTTCTTTGTAACAACGTTTTCGCGTAGTTTGAAAATTTTTATTTTAACAAGTCGCTTTGAATTCGATCGTTACCCTAGAGCCATATTTAGCAATTTCCTAAACATGCAAACGGTTTTTCTTATTTTATTGATTCAAAACTTGGAAAGTACTCTTTTCAAGTTCCAGAACAAGTTTCAGTTCTGATTTTCTCTGTTTAATGGTGCTATTAGTAACCGTGTAAGACTAATGTGGTTCTGAACATTTTTCGCCATGCACCGCTTTTACCGCTGTGATCATTCCCACCCCCTTTCCAAAACTCGAAAAATCCCTGTACATTTAATTAAATTTATTTTTAATGTGTTGTAAATTAACAGTAAAAGGCATGAGAAATGTTGATAAATATCAAATTTAATGTAAGGAGATGTTTATAGTCAAACTAAAACTGAATACTTAGCAGGCAAATGAATGGCTGGCCTCATTCAACCTGAAACTTATAAATTCCCTGCCCCCTCCCCCCCGGCTGAGAAGCGCTGCTATAGTAGACGGTGAGAAATGATTACGGCATTTATTCATTCGCTTTGCAAACATGTTAGTGTTACAAAAAATGCAATAAAAAGTTCGCCACGAGTTCTATTGCAAATCTTATAGGATTTCTCTTATTTTAAGAATGGTATAGTTTCCTTGTTAGCAGTGTGCAGCGCCATCTATTGTTTAACTTTTGAGCTGAAGATTCTTTTGCTCAAACAAAATGCGCCTCCTATGGCAAGTGTTTAGGGAAAAAAAATGGTGATAAACCAATTTGATTTTATTTTTTAAAGGCGTATAAATGTATGCGAGAACCTCTACTTATTTTCTCCTGTCTTTTTGATATTATATTTCGAAAACTAATAGTGTGAAATTTATATAAAGTATCCAGCTATTTTATATTAGAAACGAAATCGAAAGATTTGCGAGTTCTTTGTAGAAATCACAGCAGCAGTGGAATTTTAGTAGCGTTTATAAAAACTAGTTTTGTTCTCTTTCTGAAACTGCTTTGATAACAATTGTATCAATTTATTTCGCTAAACATTTTATGTTGATAAATTAGTACGTCTTAAGAAGACGAAGATTCAGTTATGTGAAGTGTACTGCAAAATGTATCTTAGTCATGGGCTTAAGTTGTAATATAAAGTGTGCGAAATTAAGAAACTCTGTATAAAAATACTTCTCTATTTGGTGGTGTTACTTAATGTCATAATGAAACTTTTTCCGCAGTAGCAAAATAACATTTTACGTGAGATTTCAAAATTTTAATTTTAAAAAATGGATAATTTTATTTGAAGTGGAAAATGTTAATTAAAGCCTGTGTTTTAAGTTTTGCACAAAGCCTTCCAGGTGGTATAGTGGATTGGGGAACCTTTGGACCCTACTGCTGTATCAAAGGGCCCGAGTTCGAATCCCGGAGAAGGCATGGCTGTAATTATCCATCCTTTCATAGATGGTAACGGTGGCCCACCTATTAGGTTATTCCACAGTAAAGTGGCCGCCAATTAAGCCAAGCTTAAGTCGGCTAATTGCCAGACAATTGGGGAGAAAGAATTTTCGCAGATAATAAAATTCTAGATTTCAATCTTTTGAAATTTACTTGCACATTTTTTTAAATTTCATTTACTTATTTTTTGTTTTGAAATATTCATTTACTATTATGAAGATTTTAATCTGCTGCCATAAACATAATTTATCAACTGAAATTTGATCTCTTAAGTCTAATTTGTTTTGAATTTCAAAGCTTTATTTTCCCTTTCGACAAAGTTATTCTGAAATGGTATTTTTTATGCAACACATTACATGATTTAAGAAACTTCTTCACAAATGTAGATGGTTTTGTACTTCGTATGAGAAGTTGTTACATTTTAATTAGAAACGAATTAGATGCATTTCTCAGATTCTTCAGAAAACTTAATCTTAGTTTTTTACATTTACATAATTTTGTTAATCCTGGAAAAATTTTTAAGTCTCATTAAAGCAACTTTAGAATTTTTTAAAATTACTTTTATACTTGTCATATCAGGTTTTATAGATTTTTTAAAAATATTTTCATTGTTTTTCAGCTTTCTTCCATAATGTTGCAAATGAATTTTATAAATAGTAAAATATCGGTACTTCGGAGAAAACGTTATATATGCTACTACTGCCCTACCATATGCTGTATTTTCACGCCGTTAAATAAACTAGTGGTGTATGTGTTTAAAGACAGCAAATGTTTATCAAGCTGTGTAAGGAATACGCGTGATCTTTTGGAGTAAAATAATTAACAAATCTGCAAGCTTCCACGACTATGCGACAAAAGAAAAATTTACAGGAATCTTCGCTTTCTTTCTGCCCGGTTAGTTGATTTAACCCCTTGGGTACGGAAAAATCTAATTTTTGGCAAGACATTTTCACAAACGTTGCAAAATGTCTCTACGCAGCCGGGCTATAGCTTTCAGCGAGATTGTTCCGGGTAGGAACCCAGCCGTTTAAACCAAAGCTAGGCGAAAATAGTTGCACGTTAAAGTTTTCTTCTAGCTTCACACTTCTAGCTAGATGTGATAACCATATGAGTGAAGCGCGTTCAGCTGGGAAGATCCGTGCTTCGAATTTCGATTTTCAAACTAATAGACTTCATGTGTCTTAGTTCGAAAAATGACGTTTCTACATTATCAGATCTGTTTCATAAAACATTTAACTCCCAGTGTAATCTGAGCATATTTACTGTTGGGTTGGAATCAATATTTCGTGGTAAGTCTGCTTTAACGCATTAGATACTATTCTGTGCTAATGCGTTATGGCTTTTTAGTCTGCATATGAGTTATTATTCTATCTCGTTACACCAAGTACTTTGTAATATCGCTGGAACTGTTAAACGCTGAATTATTTTATTTGGAAGGTGAAATAATGAACCGTAAATATTCAGAAATTTTTTTATCATGCTGTAGATTTTTGACCCTACGAATGGTTTGTGCAATCATATGCTCCCCACCATGCAATGCTAAGGGCGCGAACATTATCTTCCCATGGGGGAATTCTCGCATGGCATTCGGTACGAGTTTCACATCGAGGTTCATAGAGCAAAGCAGTATTGTGGACAAACATGTAGTTTTTGTTCAGTGTGTGTTTTAAGAAAAATACAGTCTCTAAAAATGACATAAGATTGCTGCTGATTGTTTTAGCCGTAAAATGCCATAACATTGCTTCACCTACTGGCGATAGTCCTTGTATAATTTACGTTGATTAATTAACATAAATTGTTGCGATTAATATGATTGCAGTTTTATGGAATTCGCGGTTAGTCATTTGAGTAAAACAAAGTAGACAGATATACGATGCATAGATATCGTAGGAAGAACAGTCACTTATTCATATTGATGTTCCCCTGTTATGTTGAAGACATGAGTTACTTTTTCTTAGTTTTATCTTCTTCGTAAACAGTGTAATTTTAATACCAGCCCCCTTTCTTAAAAAATCTCCCACAAAGCAGTTAGCTTTACTATGATTTGATGTAGACAGATAAGTACAAATTAGTCTTGGTTAATTTTTTTTTTTATTTTCTACTGAGGAGATATAAATTCTTATTGAGTTCTTAAAAGAGCTCGTTTCTGAAATGTTGCTCCTTCCAATAATGTTTAACAATTTTTTTCATTCTGTATAGAAAACCAATTATTATTATATTTTCTAGGACAAAGCCTAGGGTATGGTTTTGTTAATTACGTTAGACCAGAAGATGCTGAGAAAGCTATAAACACTTTGAATGGACTCAGACTTCAGAACAAAACCATAAAGGTATGTTCTATTTTCTCATTTTCTAATAAGATTCATTTTCTAATACGATTAAGTGCATGTTAATAGCCAATATTTGGTTTTTCTGTTATTATCAGTATTAAATTTATGCTCCATTTAACGTCCAATCAGCTGGCTTCCTCCGTCCTCTGAAAGCTTCGTCACTTAATCATGATGCAAAATATATTAAAATTACTGGAATGTTAAATGCAAATTTTATCTACTTCATGGATCGTGCAAATAAGGCCCTCAACACATAGCTTAAAATAGCTAAAAAAGATACGAAATTTTCTATTATAAGCACTGAAAAATCTTGTATTAGCCGCATCTAATCTTATTGTAAACTGTGAGATACGAGGTCATTAGTGTCATTGTTATGCATTTTATGGAACAAGTGGGAACGTATTTAATTTAGGTTTTTTCGGTTATAATGCAGAAAATGACCTTTGCTGGCAGTTTAAATAAGGAAAATAAGTTTTTGCAACACTATCTGATAACAGCTATGATGATCGGCTGCGACACCACTTCAGACGACTCCGCCGATGTTGTGGGATCAAAGGCCTCTGAGCGTAACCCGCCACAGAACAAGAGCCGTGAGATGGTAGACGGTACCACGGGAGGTATAGAAGTGGCTGTAGTGTGTTGAACAGTCCACAATGATACCGTTGGGGCTGTTCGAGCGTGGCGAACAGTCATCCTATCTTGCCTCGCATTGTGCTCCTTGGCCTTCCAGAGCCTTCATTTCGTCGGCAATTTCTTTGTAGCAAACATTGCTGCCAACATCTTTGCACAAGAGTGTCTATACGCTGCAGGTGGCGGCCTATTGTTCGGTACGACCACCCAGCTTCATGCAACCCTACAATGCGGCCACGTTCGAAGTCGTTTAGTTGTCTATAACGTCTTCGATATCGTCGTAATGGTACATTAAGTTGCTTCTTTACGGAATTATAATGGCAGCAACAAAAAAGGAAATTTCCGCCTCTGTTACTGGTTTTATAGTTTGCGAATTTCGCACTAGAAATGCGCGCTATGATCGCAATTCCTGTTCATTTGCTTTGAAGTTTTGATCATTTGGATGCTCGATCAAGATGTTTTTGCATATCAAATTTCGTCACGACCGCAAAAATCCTTCTTGGTGCTTCAATTTTTTTTGCAAAAGAGTGTATATTTCGGGTTAGGTATTAAGCGGCTGTAAAAAATAAAACTTCCTGACTTTTGTATGAGAGTGTGATCTCGCTGGTATTAGTTCCCTTGTAAACGTTCATTAATCCACTTAACATAACATTTCTTCTGGAGCTTATTTTTATTTCCTTGGTAAAAGTAAAGACAGTAATATAATCGCAGAAAATTACGGGTATTTGAACCAAAATATCCATTTTGACAGCTCCAGAGTCCATTTGAAAGACTTTTTAGCATGGTGTCTGTACGTACGGACAGAATAAAGAACTCTTGCTTATCAAAACTATTGTAAAATGGATTTAAAATGGGTTCAGAAGGGACTTTTTTCGATGAATGTACGTACAAAATTCACATACCTCAATAATTAATGGTAGAGTGTTGAAATTTTGTATAGGTGACTGCTACATCTAGTTGTGCGCCTCTTTTATTTATTATTCGAGACGGCTGTATGAAACATGTATATCCACCTCCTTACCCGGCTTGGATAGTTCTTTTATTCTTATATGTTGGTATATTGTGAATTTTTTGCTTTAAAAGTGACTGAATTATGTTCGTATATTCCAGTTTTTATGCCTTTAGTTAATCTGCATGCAATAGTTGTAGAATTATCAAATTTAAAAGTGGAGTTAAATCTAACGAGACTGAATTTTGTTTACGTACGAAACATAGTATATTTCAGTCGATGCAGCCAACTTCAGTCTCTTTTCTTCACAGCCGTCCCAATACCGGAATTATAGTCTAAATTTGAATATTAATTCGAATTCAATATTTAATTTTCATTTACTTCATGGTATAGTTAAATTTTTTGTTTCATTAAAAGCTATTCTTCAAAATGAGAACTTCAAAGGAATAACTGGAAAAAAGGCTCTGCTGGCAGCAATATTCGGTGGTTAGGAATTTTACCTTGCATTGCGTCAATGGGTTTTAATAGGTAAAAGTTAGAAAGTCGGTAAAATTTGAAATTTGGATGTAAAACGTAACGTTTATCAATAGACGAAGATAAAAGTTTACAACAGCTAGTAAGGAACTTTAATCTTATTGAGTTTGTTTTCCACGTATTTTGCGATAATTGAATTTTTTAGATACAAGTTAAGAAAAACTACTGCAATGTAGGCTTTCAGGAAATAGTGCATGCCTTCTCGGTATATTTGTAATTGGCCCGTAGAATATTGGGCTCGATTTTTCAAGCTGAATGAATGATGCATGTGAAAAAGGGGGTTTTAAAGTGGAGAAGAGTAGTTAACGGATAAAAAAATAATGTAATTTGATAATGAATTAATGTAATTTGATAATGAATTAATGTAATTTGATCTGTAAACAAGAATTTAATTATTCATGAAAGATGTGATATTTTCAATTTTTGAAATAGTGTTTCTTTCCAACCTCGAATGTAAAAATTTTAGATGAATTTTGTGTAACTAGTTGATTTTTAACATGTTAAATTTTTATTTCTGGAACTAATATTTGTAAAATTTTTGTAATAAAACGTGCTTAGTTTTATGAGGGTTAATCTTACGTTTACCGCAATCTGACATTACCGCCATTAATAAAAGCTCATTATATGAATATTTTCTTAGATAAAATGTTGTGAGCTTTCACTTCTCGATATTGCTATTCATTGGGATACTCCGGTATTGTGACGTTTATTCTTTCTCGACTTCTACAATAATATACATGTGACTCGATTATTTAGGCTTGATTCCTATTGCTCTTTTCTGAGAGAGAATCGCTTCGCTTTCAAGCATAATATATTCACTTCAAAGCCTCCTGAAATTATTCGGAGTTCTTGATATCGGTCGGAATAAATGTCGTGCGCTTCCCTAGAGAATTAATGTTGCGCGAAAGGTATATGAGGAAAGCGACATTTTTTTGTCCCCCCCCGAATCCATGAAGTTATAATATACAGCTTTACGAGCCTTGAGTTTTCCGTTAATTTCCAAAGTATATGCTTCAAATCTGTATATAAACAGAATGGTGATAATAAAAATGGGCAAAATTCAATTTATTCTGGCTTCGATTTTAAATGAAAAGCCTCAGCGCATTTGATGAACGAAGGCTGACGCGGGCCTATTCATCGGAAGCAATATTCCGGAATATTATTGCTTCCCCGTGAAAGACTCCCACTGGATTATCCTTTTAAATGCTTGACTCTCTACATTTGAACAAAGCCGATCTGAAGTCTAAGCATGGATGGAGTAGAAGTTTACGCTTATTTTTAATATCTATTGGAAGTCATAACGCTTTAATTTTACTGATGTATTGTATCGAGCTCATTCTATATTGCTGATTTTTGTTTATTACTTAGATACAATTTCGTTCTTGTTTCATGACGGTAATCTCTTATAGTCTTCCGCTATAAACAACTTATGAAGTTCCTCATGCTTTCTCATTTCTGTAGTGGATACGAGCCATTTTCTCTTTACAAGTTCTCCACTACGACTTCCCTTCCCATGGGCAGATATCCCTCGAGCTGCTTTGCCTTAATTTATCTATCTTTATTTTTGTATGCAAGAACTGGTTGCGATATTAATTTTAGTTGAATGGAACTATGTGTTCCCGCTGAATTAGTTTAGCAACGTATTTCTAATAAGCTGGAGATGGAACATTTGCAACATAAAATAAGATGTTTAGAAAATATTAAAATCACTTCAGAGTAGGGATTTATAAATTAGTCGATACGAGCGATTTGAACAAAAACTTACACATGAGCATAAAAGAATTTTTCAACAGTTTCTGATACCGTAACACGTCTCAGAAAAATTCCAAAGTATTTATAACAATTCATCTTAAATTATTTGCCGTACTCGGATCCCATAATAAAAGTGGACATACTTCGAGAAGGTATAAATCATGTTTCAGAGCTTGCTTAGTTACGGAAAATCAAAATATAAGGCATATATTTCTATTGAAATTGTTCATGAAGTAATTGGAATTTTATTTGAACTTGAATGTTCATTCGGTTTCTTTGAATACATTTATAACATCTCGTATGCTTTGATATCCAAACTAGGCGTTCCAAGACTATTTAGGTAATTATCTCTAAGTCTTAAAAGTACGACAAAGTCAAGAAAAGGTTTAAAGAATCTTTCATTATCTCCTCATAGATGGCACCAATTTACAAAAGCCTAGATTTTTAGCGTAACGCAACGTTAAAGATCAACTTAGGTAGGCAGACAGCAGGACACGCTCTGAATTCACGTTCCGAAACCTTCCCTTAAATACCACCTTCTTTATACCTCATTTGAATACACGCGCGCTACATCATTTACATTCTATCCAGAAAGCTTTAGAAAAGGCTGCTTTAAAACAAATAACGTAAGTAAATTAAATAAATCCGTACATGTTTTTCAAATTTTAGGAAAGCTGAATTAAATCTACCGAAGCATTTATAGAAAAACTACCAAGCATATCCAAAAGCGTTCCTATATTAACCACAACAATTAAAAATGCAAATTCCTCATTTTGTTTACCCTTTTGTCCTTTAGTTAAAAGCATTGCAAACTTACATTTTAGTGAGACTTCCTTTGTCTTAAATATGAATGTCAGTTTCTTTTAGATTATTATATCATAATCCATAGTTTGTTCAAATAACTTTTAAGGTATGTGTAATGAAACTGAAGAACTCTGCGACTAGAATAAGACATCGTAAGCCCTATCCTTGACATCCATGTCGATTGCAACAGTTCTCGTTAACTGTTTCATTCATGCCGACTCTCGCGGGTCTCTTATGCCAGTTTATGTGGAAACTAATATAACTGAAATTGGTATCTATGCCAAGGCTTGTAAATATGAATGTCGTATATAGTTGGCATTCATGTAACGAT